GAGCCTCTGCCCGCCGACGGACCCGGGGCTGCCGGACTCAGAAGAGCCTTCCCCGGGGCAGGACCAGGAAGGGCGTCCTCCAGGGTTAGGCGCTCCAGCAGCCCTTCGCCCTCCTCCTCCTCCTGCCCGCCCGGAGCACAGCCTCCCAAGCTGGGCAGGGTCGCGGGGAGGACGCCGGTGGGGAGGTGGGGGTGCCTGGAAGTGCCTGGCCAGAGTCTCCGGTGGCTCCAGGAGAGGACCCTCCTCCGCCGTGCCAGCCTAGCGGGGCCCAGGGCCTGGCTCCGGGCCAGAAGGCAGCTGCCGCCTCCTCCCCTGGTAGGGCTCTTCTGGGCAGGGGAAAGCTCGCCTCTCCCGGGGGCGCTGGGGAAGACCGGGGGCCGCCCTGGGCTCAGAACTTAGGGGAGATACTGTACAAGCCGGGGTTGAGAAAGCGAGAAAGAGGGAGCGAGTCAGACACTCACACGACCTCTGCGTGCCTGCCATCTGTGCACACCCGTGCGCTACAAGTACCTGTAGGCCGTCAGGCAACCCCGTGCGGGCCCGGCATTCCTGGGCAGAAGCTCATTAAGCCCTCGCGGAACTGGGAGTTGCCCGGCTTCTTTCTGTCAAGAGGCCTAGCCCCGTGGTTTATTATTACTATTTTTTAATTATTCTTTTAAAACCTCCACATATTTTAGGCATCATTTTCTAGGCCACATCAGCCTCAGCTCCCGCATTCCACCCTCATTAGGAAACCCACAAGGCAGAGCTGGGTCCTGGAAATATGAGATTTAGGATCTAAGAAGAAGACAGTCTGTAACCTTGGGGCTTGTGTGGGGGGAACCACAGGAGTGCATTTTAAGACTGCTTCTGCGTTCCTTAAGTGTCTTGCTGAACGTTTTGATCAGCACAGGCCTGCTAGTCCTTAGTGATCCTGCTGTGCTTTATGGGGCATGTCTCTGGGTACCAACAAAGCAAGGGACCAGTGCGGAGCCCATCCCACTTAGAAGCTGCAATAAAAGCTGACCAGCAGGGTGGCCAGGTGGCCAGGCTCCCTGATGCCCAGCAGAGCTGCAGGAGATGGTCCCTGTGGCACAGACACATGTGCAATGTGCTCACCTGGCTCTTGGCTTCCTCACAAACCACAAAGGCAGCTCTGGTGGCCAAAGAAGGTGTCTTCCTCCCTACAGGCCTTTCCTCACCGTGGGTCAGCTGTGAGAGAGGAGGGGAGAGGAGGCTCTCCCTTTGTCGCAACCCTGCCGGAGTCTGTGCCTCGGCTTCTGGCTCTGAGCCACAAACGACGCCTCTTGTAACACAGTTGTTTTATTGTCTCTTTGTTTTTATTTTAATCTTCTGGTTTGTTGTGTCTTTCTTTTTTCTTTAACCACATTGCAAATTTCCCAGAAGAGTGCATTGAACTAGAATAAATAAAGAGTGCATTGCACTATAAGAAAGAAAGAAAGAAAGAAAGAAAGAAAGAAAGAAAGAAAGAAAGAAAGAAAGAAAAAGGCGAAGATCAGGTCCTTCCACTACGAATTTGGACAAAATGCCTAAATAAATGAGATGCTTCTCCAAAAATTGGAGGCGCTTTCCTTCCTCTCCAGCAAGGACTTGCCAGGCCACCTCTGGTGCACCTGCGTATACCGACCCCAGGGGAGAGGATACAAAGGATGGCAGGAACACACCAGAAGCAGGGAGGGATTATCCTCTCCAGCAGTGCAGGTGCTTTGGTGAGAAGTGACCTCCATAGTTACCCCTGCATGTCTGTAAAGGTCCTGCTC